GAGAGAGATATATATATATATATATATATATATATATATATATATATATATATATATATATATATATATATATATATATATATATATATATATACACGTCTAAAAATAAACATATTTAGTTATCATGCAATTTCGGCAGCCTTTGATAAGGAATGATTACTTCATATAATCACTGATGACAAAATATCAAACACAAACAAAACGCGCGGAGCAGAGCACAGAAAACAGACCAGCCGGGGACAAATAAGTCACATGACATTATAGAGTAAAAATCAATACCGATAGCTTTTTCTCAGATTTTTTTCCGGGACAGATCATGACATTGGTGATTGATGCCTCATCCTTGTTTACGCAAGGACCGACTTATTATGACGTCCAGCGTTAGACTCAGGGGCACCAATGTCGGAACACGGCCGCTGCACAAACAATAATACAGAGACTGATCACACGCATCCATCAAGGCGCAAGGGTCAGGCGCTGTGATGCCTGTGCAACGTAATCTTCGCTGGCGGCACAGAATGGCCAGACAAGGCAAACATATCAGCAGCACAGGATGGCCATGCACGGGCACGGTAAGCTACGCTGCCGACACAGGGTGCCTACACAGCACAAGCTCTCCTGGCGGCGGGGATGTCTTGGCTATCAGCCCACGTGCTTAGCTTACGCCTGAGTGGGTAAGCCGCTTACGGCGGTGCCGGGTGTCGTAACCGCGGGATGAAGCACATGCAAGTGACTAAGGGAAACTGACGAAGGGCCGCGCGAGCCCATTGCAGCAAATGGGAACAATCTTTGAAAATACTTCCCTGGTCTACAAGAACTAGGTTGAGCTATTACCGATTCCATACACATCTATACACTTCGTCTTGCGAGAGACTCTTGTTCTACGCACATAGATCAGTTATTCTGCTATTAACGAGTGTGGGGGGGGGGAGGGGGGAGAAAGGGATAGGGAGAGACCAGAGCTATGGCGGATGACGACAGTGCAAAATTACAATATATTTTCCGTTCCGTGGGAGAAAAAGGAGAGAATATAGAGAACTGCGTGATAACAAGCGAGTAGCATAAACGCAGAGATGCCTATTTATCATCTGCTACATTACGACTAATGTCCAGACTCGGCTCCGACAGAATCGGCTAAAGCCCAGACTACGCCCCAACAGAAGCTGTTGGGCTGGCTGCCCAAGGCTGCCGGAGGAGCCGGCAGAGGCCCAGGGCCGACTCCGTCGGCACCAGAGGAGGAGACGGGCGTCCGGCGTCGGGGGAGGAGTGCCACCCCTGCACGCCGCAGCTGCACCCCCGCTCCGTGGGCGCAGCTGGCCGAGCTGTGGCGCCAGCGGCAGGTGTTAGCCCCGGCTGCCAGGCTCGGTGGGTGGGCCAGGTCGGCGGGGTCGCCTGACGCTCTCCGATACGGCGCGCTCGCGGTGCAGTGTAAGGTCAGAGTCACGTGTCAGACAGCCAGAGAGTCTCCGGTAACCTGACTCGTGTCCGGCGCCCCGTGGATCACGCTCTGTGGGCTGGAGATCCTAGAGCCGCACTCCTCTCCGGTGCTCTGCATTCAGCGTCCCTGTCCCTGCGGCGAGTCTGATCCGTCCTGTCCCCGTACACGGCCACCGTGTCTGACGCCAGGTAGGCACATCAGTCCCGTGCGTTCCGTGCGCGATGTCCTGCAGCACTGGAATCTCATTTTATCCGCTTCTTGGTCAGCGCCGCCTGTCGCTTAACGGACCACGTTACTGGCTCCACGGCAGTGGATCAGTAGGCAGAGTCGGACGCGCCATTTTCAACGAAACTTTTCTTTGGTTTTGTGGCATTGCACGAAAAGAAGAGGCCGAAACTGCGTCCTCTCAAAAAAATGTGGCCAGACCTGAGTTTCACACCCCGTAACCTGCTCTCTCGTGTTTTGCCACCGCGTCGTTCCGGTTGCGGTGTGTTGAATAAGGGATGCTCTCCGTGGAGTCCTGGACCCATGTTATCGTTAGTCCGGGGTGTCCTGTGTCCGCTGTATCCTGGGTCCGCGGTATCGTGACCCCAGATGTCCTGGGGCTGTTGTATCATTGCTCTGTGATATCTCGGCTCCGCTTTGTCCTGCGTCCGGGGGTCACTGGGACCGCGGTGTTCATGGTCTGTGGTATCCTTCGTCCGTGGTGTCCTAAACCTGCTGTCTCGTGTCCGTTCCCACTCGACTCCCCCCCCCCCCCCACCCCTCCTACCTCACCTGTCACAGTGACGTCCGTTGAGCGTCAGGTAACCCGGCTCTGATCCCACCGCAGAACACCGCACTGGAACCCACGCGCGCGCGCGCCGCACGGATCACCCGCATCGACGAACGCCCCCACCGCTAGCGGCGCGCACCGCTCCTGAGGCGGCGCCGAACGGCGACACTAGCGCCGCACTCGGACGCCAGGCGCAACTGAGGTCAAGAGGGGCGGGGTACCCGGGACACGACGGGGCTCTGTGGGTGCGTCGATGGGAAGATCGCCTCGGCCGCCCGCGACCGGGGTCAGCTCGCGAAACGCGCGCCACTGGCGGCTGAGCGCGCCACCAGTCGGTCGTCCAAATCGGTGCAAAGTCAAGGCCGAATTCCGCAGGGTATTTGACGCGGAGGCCGCTGTGCGTGACGCAGCGCTCTCGCGTGAGGGGCCGTGATGACGTCAGCGTAGCATCCGCTCCTGACCAGCCTGGAGCGCCGTCTCCCCGACCAGGAGGAATTGCGTTCGCCAACTGATCTGCCAGCATGCCTTTCAACGGGACCCATTTCGAAGCATTCGTCCTCCGTACGTTGGAACCGACCGAGGGCTGTATATCTTCTCGCCTCGCCCGAAACCAAACGAGCGCATTGTCGGCGGACGCGGCACGACCGGACCGTGCTGCCCACGTGACCTTGGCCCGTGCCGCTGAAGCGCACTAGCCCCACTCCTCGCCCCAGACGCCATGCGCCGCCCGCAAGGCGCACGTGCTCCCGTCGGGATGGCCGTGTGGCCGGCTGTAGTGCCAGACGCCGGTAATCAAACAAGATCAAGAGAGTCGATAAACAACCGGCGGAGAAGCATGCCACCGGCTCGATGATGGCTGTCGGGGTGTGCTGTTTAAAGTGAGGCTTGCGTCGTGCAAAACGTTGCAACCGCATTGGGTTAATGTGCGGGAAACATGACATCCCTTTGGTGTCGACCGCTTGCCACGGAAGACAGAGCGTAAGTGCCCTTGACTGCATGAGGCATAGGCCCGAGCGGTTCCCCACAACCAAGTCGGCCAACTCAGAGAGGATGGTGGGGACCGTGCACGCCCGAGAAGCACGAGTATATTGTGAGCAGGCGCACTCCGACTCTGCGAGTCATTTAAACGTCACGTTAGAAGCGGCCGGTGCGGAAGAGTCAAGTGAGCTGATCCAACGTCATACAATCCCTACTAGGAGCTTTTCTGATGGTCTTGAAACTGACAGCGTTGATGACGACTTGGGTATGCCTTCTCCGGTCAAACCGTCAAACCAGAGGCGTATCGATCAAGCACCTCGACCAGGACGGTCTCCGCTCCGTGCTTGGCCAAACATGACTGGCAATTGTATGTTGGCCCAATGGCAGAACCAACTGCCCGGAGGAGCCCATCGAAGCAAACCAATATTGACAATCAGCCTCAAGTACCGCAGAAAGGACTCCAACGTCGGCGTTTGTAACACGTCAACATTTACAGACCGCAGCACCGCATAATTAATTAGATCTGTCGCACGCGGACAATATCACAGCGCACGCCTCCGTCGGAAGACATCGCTGGAGCTGGTGCACCATATTCAACTAAGTTGGTCACTAACCGACGCGTCATTACGTTTGACAATTTAGTGATGGGGTCACAACTATGTTCAAAATGCCATGCATGCCATACATCACGGCACAGGGCATGGGGGATGAGCCGCCGCGATCTGTTATGGCCAACCGAATAAGATGTTCTAGCACGAAGCAAATTAAAGCAACAGGGCGCTTTCAACTGGCCGGATATCATATGGTGTTTCAGTCGCATAAGCCATCAAGTCACTTAGCAATACAACGAGCAGGCCAACAGACAGCAGTGATCACGGTCTACCAAACAACGCAAGCCGTCTGCTAATAGACGTAGGGCTCGGGTGTTGTGTAGCCTGGTGCCGTCGTACTGAATTAGAAACAAGTGGTGTGCGTGTGTGTGTGTGTGTGTGTGTGTGTGTGTGTGTGTGTGTGTGTGTGTGTGTGTGTGTGTGTGTGTGTGTGTGTGTGTGTGTGTGTGTGTGTGTGTGTGTGTGTGTGTGTGTGTGTGTGTGTGTGTGTGTGTGTGTGGTGTGTGTGTGTGTGTGTGAGTGTGTGTGTGTGTCTGTGCGTGGGGGGGGGGGGGGGCGTTAAGATGTGTGTGGGAGGTTTTGTGGGTGGGTGTGGCGTTGGTGTGTACGTATTGTATATGATAGGACTGGGAGATTACCTGGAGTGCTGTTTCTCATCTCCCTAGAGCTGCTGCTGGGATGTGCAAAGATCATGTTGATAATTCTCTGTGCAAAAGTGGCTCATTTTTGAAGCTTTACTGATCCATTTGAAATTTCAAACTGTCTGTTAAAGCTTTAAGAAAAAATAGAGTGCGATTTCACAAAAAAGTGTCGTGTTATTGTTAAAACTTTAAGAAAAAATAGAGTGCGATTTAAAAAAAGAGTGTCGTGTTATAGATATGTGCCCCCCGATACTAGCAAAAATGAATTGGAACTACCAAAGATTCATCTGTGAGTCGACGATGCAGCGAAGAGCGGTATGCTCTCCTGTCTAATGCGGCGCCTCTCATCTCTCCACACTCCACATCTCTCCACGCCACTCCTTTTCGGTTGTCATCCTGCGATTGCACAGTTTTGGCCTTCACACGGGCTCCAAGGGCTTACGCCATTATGGCGGCTACCTCAGTATGTCGGCTTTTGAAATAACCGTGACGTCATGGCCGAACCGAAGGCGTCAACAGTTCAGGTGTTGGGATTCCTCAGATTTAAAAGCTCACACTTACCTGCTTCCTCTTCTTTTCAGGAAACATGAAATCTAGGAATTTTGGGGATAAACGCAATCCTTTCAGAACACGCCACGGAGCGCTGTCTCACGCGTGACATCCCGCTAGCTTAGCCATGGCTTAAACGAATCAGCCCGCTCAGCCTGCGCCGATGAAGGCGCCCGTTTGTCTGCCGTCGGTGTCCTCGTGCGCGCGCGTCGGCCACTGACCCCGAGCCACCGTCGGCGCACAGCAGGGAGACCGCATGCCAAAGGTCAGAGGTCGGCCACCGCCGATTGGACCCGAGGGGATCCTCGGCGCCCGGCGAGTGGACCCGAGGGATCCTCGATGCCCGGCGAGTGGAGGGGAAGGGGAGGGCGTCCCCGCAGCTCAGCGACGCCCTGAAGGCTGGCTGTGGTGCGAACCACGGAGAGGAGTGGAGGGGGGGGGGGGGGGGGAGGGTGCGTCCCTGCAACTCAGCGACGTCCTGAAGGCCGGCTGTGGCGGAAGCCACGGAGGGGAGCGGAGAGAGGGTGTCCCTGATCTCAGAGTCGCCTCGAGGGCCGGCTGCATTGTGGACAGCAGAGTTGGAAAGAGCGACTGCCAATGCGTACACCCCGCGGCCAGGCCCCGGCAGCAACAATGAGAAGATGCAGTCACCTTTTGCATGCTTTTAACATCACGGGCATTGCAATAATCCCTTTTCGGCAGCAGTGAATCAACTTACAAACCCACCCTGCGAGTCCGTATATGCACCGCCTGATAGCGGGCTAAATTGTATGTCTCGGTTGATATGACAGCCATCCATATCGGTCGATCAATTAGCTCCCGCGATACGAGCGCAGCCCGCGCAGATGGCTGAAACGTGAAGCCAAGCATCCTGTGATAAGCGATGGAACGGCCTGGCCCCGCTGGATGTTAGTCACTTGTATATGTACATATATATATATATATATATATATATATATATATATATATATATATATATATATATATATATATATATATATATATATATATATATATATATATATATATATATATATATATAGCACGACCTGCGACGTCGCGGTCTGGAGCACGCACCTCTGCGGTGAAAGCTTCCTGCCCTCTGCCCTCTGCCCATCCTCCCTCTGCCCTCTGAATCTCGAATCTGTGGCAGACTGACGCGTAGCACGCCGGAAGCAGACGCCCTGCATCTGTAGGTACACTACAGCTACGTCTTGACCGCAAGGATGGCTGGGTTGACGGTCCTAAGTCATCTTCATGTCTCATCTGATGTATTAACTGTCGCACGTCTTGAGCGCGGACGCTTGCAGCACCGTGTGTCTGGTTTTATCGCCCAAACGCGTGACATGCATTATCCGTGTCTCCTCCAACAACTCTTCTGATGTCGCTAGCTGGTCGTTTGCGCCTAAAAAACGCCGCAAATGCCTAACTCGCTACGCACAGACGCCAACTCTCGGTCGAAGACCACAGGAGACATCGGTGCTGAGGACGCCCTGCGAGCTCACGCCGTGAGCGCATCAGGTGATGCATGTGATAGACACCGGCTGACGTCATCACGCCACGCTGATGTCATGGTCGCCCTATCTGTGTGGGGAGGGACAGGTCCGAAGCGCGCCCCCGGCGTGAGACGCCCGGAGCGCCGCAGGACCCACCGCACGGTCGACGAGCGTGGTGGCAGGCGGCGGGCGCATTCACCGCGCGGGCTTCGGGCGGGTCTGCCTCGTCATCGTTTGGAGATGAAACTCACACACACCTGACCCAATCAAAACAGCCAGGCGTCACGAGGAACCCCCGACACGCCGTGTATTGGAGCCCGGCGGACTCGGCAGTGATGGCGTCGGACTGCCGCACGGGGCCACGCGCCCCCCACAAACAGCGCACAAAGACACCGCACATCCACAGAACAAACACGACAGTCATCACAGGCTGGCACTGAGCACCTTAAACCCTTGAAAACAGCGCGTAAACGCGCCCAAGGCCAGAACAATCGCACTTGGGCGGGCCAGCTCATCCGCGGGGTACCCGCCAGGAACACGGAAAAGCGTTACAAATGGCAGTTGGCTGAGCGCCGCGCCGGCGCGCGGCGGCAGACGCCGCCGGTGTCCGCCGGCGGACGGCGCTGGAGGCCCCAGCTGAGGCGGCCTGCTGCGGTATCCGCTCCGTGCTGGGGTCGGGGTGACGCCGGCTCCACACGGGCCGCGGGGAATGCCCACTGTGAGGTGCGCGCCTCGACCGAGCCGCCCTCCCGTGGCGGCCTGCCGGCCCGCGCCAGCTGCGTGCTCGGATGCCCGCGCCGGGTACGCCCACTGGCGCCGTCCCAGGTCAGCTCAGGTCGGGTCGGGTCAGGTCGGATGAGGTAACGTCTGATGAGGATATCTAATGCGGCGTGATCAGGTCCAATACCCGGCCAGTTGAGGTCAGCCCGTGTCGGAGCGCCACACCCTCTCCAGGATCAGCCCGGTCAAACCCGATCCGGCCAGTTGAGGTCAGCCGGTGCCAGAGCGACACACCCTCTCCAGGATCGGCTCGGTCAGGTTCGATCCGGCCAGTTGAGGTCAGCCGGTGCCGGAGCGACACACCCTCCCCAGGACAGGCTCGGTCAGGTTCGATCCGGCCAGTTGAGGTCAGCCGGTGCCAGAGCGACACACCCTCTCCAGGATCGGCTCGGTCAGGTTCGATCCGGCCAGTCGAGGTCAGCCCGTGCCAGAGCACACACCCTCTCCAGGACAGGCTCGGTCAGGTTCGATCCGGCCAGTTGAGGTCAGCCCGTGTCGGAGCGCCACACCCTCTCCAGGCTCGGGCCGGCCAGGCCCGATCCAGCCAGTTGAGGTGAGTGTGTATCGGAGCGCCACACTCTCTCCAGGACCGGCCCGTGACTGTCGCCCGGTTCCGCGCCGCTGATCCCTGCCCAGCACGCGCCGGCTGGCGGCGGCTAGAGCGAGGCGGCCAGCTCCAGACAGTCCAGCTGGTCCTTGATCTCGGTGTAGAGCCTCTGTACGCTGAGCTCAGACACCAGCAGCGGCAGCAGCTGAAAACGGGCCGCCGTCAGTAGCCGCGCCGCAGCACCACCCGGGCGGGGACACGCACACCCGGCTCGTCGCGTCACTTCCGTGATGCTGTTTGTTACGCATGACCGGTCGGGTTCGGCCGTTGGATACCAGGATACATCCGCACGCGGTGCACATATTCCCTCACTTGGAAGGTCTCATGCTGGGGCTTATATGTGTTTTCCTTCATGACTAGTTCATGCTGTGATCCGACGGAGCCTTTACGTCAAATCACCTTCGCACTGCTATGGAGACAAATCGCCCGTAAGTAATACCCTCATGACCAGCTATCTCTTGCGTGAAGAGGCTTCAGAAAACAGTGAGACACTCCCACACAAAGTACGTTCTTATATCTCAGCATGGCAACGATTCCCCACAGTTCTCGAAGTGCCAACAAAGGACGAGCGCGGAGAGACAGGGCGAAAAGGTGAAACTACCCATAGCATGTAAGCAGGTCAAAACCGGGTCCTGGTCCTCACCTTCTCAGAGCCGCTGGCGGCGGTCAAGGCTCAGCTCGGAGGACATCCGCCGTCCTCACCCCTCAATGGGTCCTAACCCCTGCGCGGGTCCCCATCCCTGACCGGGCTTTCACCCCTGAGCAGATCCTCGTCCCTGAGCGGGCTTTCATCTGTGAGAAAGACCTACCCCTGCCCGGGTTCTCGGTCCTGAGACGGTCTTAATCCCTGAGAAGGTCCCCCATCCCTAGGCGGTTTCTCGTCCCTGAGCGGGTCCTCACCTCTGAGCAGGTCCTCGTCCCTGAACGGATCCTCATCCCTAAGAGGTTCTCAACCTTTAGCGGTTCTTCGTCCCTAAGCGGTTCCTCGTCCCTGAGCGGGTCCTCACCCCTAAGCAAGTCCTCGTCCCTGAATGGGTCCTGACCTCTAAGCGGGTCCTGATCCCCCAGCGGTTCTTCGTCCCTGAGCGGATCCTCACCCCTGACCGGGTTCTCGTCCCTGAGCGGGTGCTCGTCCTCACCTCCCTGAGCAGCTGGCGGCGGTCGAGGCCCAGCTCGGTGGGCGGGCAGTGACTGAGCGCGGCGCCGGAGTGGGCCGGCCCCAGCAGCTGCTGCAGCAGGTCGCGCAGCCGGCGCTCATCGCCGCGCGCCGTCAGCTGCCGCACCAGCGCCCCCAGCCACAGCCGGTACTCGGCGGGAGAGCCGAGCGCCACGGCCGCCGCCACCTGCCAACGGCGGCACGTCGCGTCGCTCGCATCCCCGCTCATGCGGGTCATGACGGGGTCATAGGGGTCAGGCGGGGCCCAGTAGCGGTCAGAGGCTACAAGTGAGGAAGCTCCTCGAAGGCTGAACGTGAACGTGAGGGTCAGAGGGATACACACCTGGTCAGAAGTGGCTGGGGTGAGATAGCAGGCCACGAGAGAGAGAGGGGGGGGGGGGGGCGGGGGCGAAGATCGTGAGGTCACAGAAGCACAGGTTCACAGGGGTCAGACACTACGTCAAGGGGTCAGGGAGTGACGAGGCCATAGTACAGGATCACAGACGTCAGACACTGGGGCATATGCGTCCCATGACGGGCCGTCTGGGCAATATACAGGACCATACAAGCGGGATACTGGACCACGGAGTCAGATGCTGCATCACGGGGATTTGATCGAGTCCATTAATCTGACGTCAAAACATGTTTGGTTTATTTGTCCTTCCGGGCGCATCACGCAAGCTTCACACTCTGTCAGTTCTTCTCCCATTTCTACAATTGCAACAGACTGCTCTCCGTTCCCCACATCGCCAACCATGCCCACTAAGTCGGCGGTGCCATCCAGACCCATGCGATACGCGCTGCCCCTCCCCCTCCCCCCCCCCTCTCTCTCTCTCTCTTCTCTCTCTCTCTTCTCTCTCTCTCTCTTCTCTCTCTCTCCTCTCTCTCTCTTCTCTCTCTCTCTCTCCTCTCTCTCTCTCTCTCTCTCTCTCTCTCTCTCTCTCCTCTCTCTCTCTCTCTCTCTCTCTCTCTCTCTCTCTCTCTCTTCTCATCCCGTTAGCGACGGCGCAACCAAGACTTGCCGCTCTCGCGATGCGCACTGCCACCATGCGGTGGTCACCGGTACCAGTCTTACCTGCGAGTCGATGTAGGCGGCGCTAGCGTCGGCGGCCAGGCCAGCGTCCCCGGCGGCAGCGGCGGCGGTGGCGGGCGCGGCCGGCCGGTGCCGGCGCGCCTGGGCCGTCAGCACGGCCAGCGCCTGCCCGCTGGCCGGCGCCGACGGCAGCTGCGGCTGTACGTCCGAGGCGCCGGCGCCCGGCGCGCCGCAGTCTGGCAGTCAAGCACGAGCTCAGACGCAGCCAGCGCGGGCCACCGCCGCCAGACCAACACACGCTACAACACACCGCTGCGTGGCTGATGTTTGTCTAGAGCGCCTTGGCAGGACGGAATCGGAAACGTGACGCCAGCCAACCCAAGACGCGGAGGTACCGCAGTAGTAGCTGACCCACGTGCTCGTGACGGGCGCCTTACGTATCGTGTCATCATTACCATGCCTGCAAACGAGGCAACTTCACACTGCCATGGGCTATTGCAGGCACGAAGGCTAAGCCAGCGACCGGACCACCAAAAGCAGCTGCTACCTATGAGCCTGTGGCCAGCAGCAGCTGACAGCCGTCAACACTCAGACGGGGGCGGCCAGCACCACCGACACTCAAGATGGGAGTAGCCAGCACCACCGACATTCAGACAGGAGCGGCCAGCACCACCGACACTCAGACGGGAGCAGCCGGCACCATCCGACATTCAGACAGGAGCAGCCAGCACCACCGACACTCGGGGAGCAGCCAGAACCACGGACCTGTGAACCACCAGAACGGACCTGAACCAGAACCACCAGAACGGACCTGTGAGCAGGAGCCAGGCGGCCAGCTTGCTGCTGTAGAGGTACGCCCGTCCCGTCGACAGCACCAGCACCGGCTGGCCGTCCTCGGTGAGCGAGCAGCCCGCCAGCCGACCTCCGCCGCCCAGCAGGTGCGCCGCCGGCTCGCAGCGCACGCGCGCCGCCTCCGCCCGCACGTCCCACGTGCTGACGTCGGCGCCGCTCGTCACCACCAGCACGTGGCGGCCGCGCACGGCCACGCGCGCCACGTGGCCGGCCATGGCGAGCGGCGGCAGCAGGAGGCGGCCGGCGCGGCTGAACACGTGCATGGTGCGGTCGGCGCACCACACCAGGCAGCGGTCCGCGGCGGCGCGGCAGGCGACGGCCGCCGCCGACAGCACCGTCCGCCAGCGCACCTGAGACCAGGCGAGGGTGTCAGCACAGGGCAGGGCAGCTGGGCAGGACAGGGCAGGACAAGGCGGGGCGGGGGGCGTGGCGGTGGCGGGGGGGGCGGGGGCGGGGCGGGGCGGGGCGGGGCGGGCGGGCGGGGCGGGGCAGGACAGGACAGGACAGGACAGGACAGGACAGGACAGGACAGGACAGGACAGGACAGGACAGGACAGGACAGGGCAGGGCAGGGCAGGGCAGGGCAGGGCAGGGCAGGGCAGGACGGGCAGGGCAGGGCAGGGCAGGGCAGGGCAGCACGAGACAGCACAGGACAGGACCAGCGCGGCACGTTTCGACTGCGAGCAAAATCGTAGCTGGGAGAAGAACTGTGCCTGAGAGTGGAGCTGAGACCGAGACGTAATGCGCCCCATAGGCATCGCACCTGTCACGGGGCAGTCTCTCATGTGCGTTGCAGGGCACGATAACTGCGACTCCCGGCTGAACCAACGCTAGTTTTAGCTTTAGCTGCCAATACGGCCGGCGCGAGACACAGCACCAGCCACAGGTAACGGGAGTGGTGCCCTCAGGGGTCAGGGATCCGTTGCCCGCCACCCTCGCCCGTGTCCGTGGTCCGCGACAGGTGCAGCAGCCGACAGCGCGCCGGTCGTGCACCAGGCGGCCTTGATCCAGCCTGGACCAGCCCGGCCGTCCGCGAGCCGTACCTGTCGGCCCTCCAGGCAGGTGAGCAGGTGGATGCCACCGGCGCCGCCGCTCTCCGCCTCCAGCTGCAGCGCGGGCTGATCCGGGCCGGCGGCCGGCAACGCCGCCGTCAGTCGGCCGGCCGCCGCCAGGGGCGCCACCAGCGTCCGCGCCGCCCCGGCCGGCGCAGGCGACGGCGCCGACGCCGGCGCCGGCAGCGGCGGGGGCGGGGGCGGGGGGCGGCGGCGGCGGCGGCGGCTCGACCGGAGGCGAGGCTCGCAGCCGTTTGGCCGCCGCCCGAAGGTCGCGGTCCGGTCGCCGCTTCACCTGCGCGCGGAGGCCGGGCGGCGTCAGCGCTCCGCAGAGGCTGCGGCCGGACCCCGTCCTGAGCACGTCACTGAGAGCTGAAATAGCAGCTCTCGGAGGATGGGTACGTGGGCTGCGCGCAGTGAGACATGCCTCGCGTGTAATCTGAGCGCATCCGGAATCTCCGACAGAGTCGGAAGCACACCAGCGCCACGCCCCTCGCTGGTCACGACTGCCAACAACAGCTACCAACTGGTCACCGCTGGTCACCAGCTACCAACAACACATTCCAGACCTCACGGACATCCGCATTTATGTGAGGTTAGGAAGCTGCATGTCCACGCACATGCCCAGCGTGAACTGAGTGGCTCGAACATCTACAATGCATATACATCCAAACGGCAACAGATCATCCCGCAGCCCATGTCTTTTCGAGACGTAGCGCAACCCACAATGCCATCGTGCATGCATAAGGTTGCCGGGCCAGTAACAATCCAAGAGGTCTGCGAGAGGGTGATTCGCAGCTGGTGACAACACCTGACGGCTGCCCGCGCATAAACCACCGCTACGTGTCACCACGGCGGCCGCGCCGCGGCCGACAGCGGCGCCCGCCGCACTGACCAAGATGGCCGCCGCCTCGGGCGCCGCCGCCGGGAGCGCCGGTGGTGGCGCCACCTCCGCCGCGCCGCTCAGCTGCCGGTCCGCCGGCGTGACGTCAGAGATCTGCCGCGGGGACGGACGCGCGGGCTCGGTCAGCTCGACACGGCGTGACGCCGCGGCATCCGCGCAAGGCAGCGGCGTCGCACGCGGGAAGCGGCAGGGATCCCGCCGACCAAGGCGCGCGTGGTACGCTGAAGCCTCACAACATTGCGTGTAACTCTGCCGGCCTGGTGGATGCATGATCTGTCCACCGGCTACTCCGGATCTAATCGCCTGGCTGTCTGCACGCTGCACGCGCTTCTGGGCACCACTGACCTGGGGCGTGACCACCTGGTCCCTCTTCTCCACCATCACCGACGGACTGGTGCCGGAGGAGCTGGTGAAGGGCCGCTCCGAGGCGAACGGAGCCGGGCCCTCCGTCGCCACGTCTGCGGGACACACAGGGGCCGGTGTCAGTCAGGGGTAAATCAGGAGAGGCCGGAGCCAGACCCTCGGTCTACAGTACACACAGGGGCCGGTATCAGTCAGGGGCAAATCAGGAGAGGCCGGAGCCGGACCCTCGGTCTACAGTACACACTGGGGCCGGTGTCAGTCAGGGGCACGGCAGAAGAGGGCGCCGGACCCTCGGTCTGCAGCACACACAGTAGCCGGTGTCAGTCAGGGGCACGGCAGGTGAGGAAGCCGGTCTCTCAGCCTGCAGCACTCACTGGGGCCGGTGTCAGTCAGGCGCAGAGCAGCGGGGGGAGGGGGGGGGGAGTTGGCCCTCGGCCTGCACACTCGGGACAGCTAACACTCACCCTGGCTCGGGACGAACATGGGCGTGATGCGCCGCTTCCCGTCCGGCGTCCGACACTCGATCTGCTTGCGACTGTGCGCGGCGGGGCCGGCGGCGGCGGCGGCAGCTGGCGCGCGCGGCGACGGCTGCGTCTGGCTGGCCGGCTGCTCCGCCGCCCGCTGCTGCTGCTGCTGCTCCTCAGCCGCCTGCTGGCGGGCGCTGAGCAGCAGCGACGACTCGACCAGCTGCGGCCGGGCGGGCCGGCCGGCGCGCCGGTCCGGCAGCGAGGCGCAACCGTACAGCCGCTGGTGCAGCGCGCGCTGCTCGGACGCCGTCATGTAGTCGCCCAGCAGCTCCTCGGCGCTGAAGCTGTGCGCCGGCAGGGGGAGGGGTCAGGGCCGGCGCGGCGCCGGGGACGCATGACGGGCGGCGGAGCAGGCTCGGTCGGCACCCAGGCTGGACCAGGCCGAGCCCAGCCATCACGGCATCGGCGGAGCTCAGTGTTGGCCACTGTACTGTTTTGTGAATGATAAGCCGGTTGCTTTTCCTCCCCACCCGCTGTTGTTGAGATACTTTGCCCAGGTTCGTGACAAGCCTAGACGCACTCGAGGGCGTAATGGCACCAAACTCAAATACGATAAATCAAGCTCGCCGTGGGCGAGGAATACCCATGGAACGGGAAGGAGAGGCCCTGACTGATCATGGGCCGATAAGAGACCGTCTTGATAAAGTACAAAAGTCACCATCCATATCAGCACGGCCCCGCCAACCCAGTGAGCGCATCATTGCGCGGGCGGGTCAACACAACATACACCGGGACAACCCTCCCCTGGCCGCAAGTCATACCGTCCGTGACAATACCACAACAGACCTCCCGGGGCGCTCAGAAACGTAATCGCAATCGGTCGACGCAACACGGAGTACACAACACAACACAGAGTACACAACACGGAGTACACAACACAGAGTACACAACAAAGAGTACCCACACAACACGGAGTACACAACACAGAGTACACAACACAGAGTACACAACACAGAGTACACAACACAATACGGAGTGCACGCAGAAGATGCGCATCGAACTCGTATTTCCCTTTTTTGTCCCCCCCCCCCCGTGCACGGAAAACATCACTGGAACACCCCCGATCAGAGAGAGGCATTTACCGTGCGCTAAAACCCTGCCACGAGGACTCACCGCGCGGAAATGAGGGTGCGGCCCCAGGAGACGGAAGGTCACCACCCCGACGAGAGTCCGCCCCAGTGTTCGGACGGGGAGTGTCCCACCGCACGCCGCAGCCCTGACCTGCCCCCCCCCCCCCCCCCTCCGCGCACCTGATGCAGGCCACGGTGCCATCCTTGCTGCACGCGATCAGCAGACGGCGCGCCGGGTGCCAGCTCAGGTCCATCACCGAGTCGTCGAAACAGCTCGTGCAGCACCACCAGCGGCCGCCGCAGGCAGGTGAGCCACACGGAGAGGCCGCGGTCGCGCGAGCCCAGCGCGCATGCGCAGTACATCTCCGGCTTCTGGCCGACACCGCGGCTCCGCTGCAGCATGGCGCCGTTGAAGCGCACGCAGGTGATGGCCTGTCGGCGGACGGCGCAGGACAGTGAGACACTGCGCAGGGCGATGGGACACTTCGCAGGGCGGTGAGACACTGCGCGGGGCGGTGGAACACTGCGCAGGACAGTGAGACACTGCGCAGGGCGATGGGACACGGCGCAGGGCGGTGGGACACTGCACAGGGCGGTGAGACACTGCGCAGGGCGGTGAAACACTGCGCAGGGCGGCGAGACACTGCGCAGGGCGGTGGGACACGGCGCAGGGCGATGGGGCACGGCGCAGGGCGATGGGACACGGCGCAGGGCGGTGGGACACGGCACAGGACAGTGAGACACGGCGCAGGGCGGTGGGACAGGCCACAGGATAGTGAGACACGGCGCAGGGCGGTGGGACAGGCCACAGGATAGTGAGACACGGCGCAGGGCGGTGGGACACGGCGCAGGGCGGTGGAACACTGCGCAGGGCGGTGAAACACTGCGCAGGGCGGTGGGACACGGCGCAGGGCGGTGGGACACTGCGCGGGGCGGTGGGACACGTCACAGGACAGTGAGACACGGCGCAGGGCGGTGGGACAGGGCACGGGGCGGTGGGACACGACGCAGGGCGGTGGGACACGGCGCAGGGCGGTAGGACACGGCGCAGGGCGGTGGGACACGCCGCAGGGCGGTAGGATACGGCGCAGGGCGGTGGGACACTGCGCAGGGCGGTGAGACACGGCGCAGGGCGGTGGGTCACGGCACAGGGCGGTGGGACACGGCGCAGGGCGGTGGGTCACGGCACAGGGCGGTAGGATACGGCGCAGGGCGGTGGGGCCAGCCACAGGCGGACCAGTGACACACTCACGCTCACCGGTAACCCCGGAACGACTTCGTGGGACCACCGAAAACGGCATATGGCGTCGTCGTCCAACTAGCCACAGCTGATCACACGTTCCATAAACATACCACGACGGCTCCGAGGGCGCTTTGCTAGTGAGCTCCGAGGAGGGCGGTTCGGCCGTGTCCATGGAAAACTATTTTTTTCAGAAGCGAAAAAGCTAAGAACAGCGGTCGAAACCAGGTCGAAATGAAATGCCGCAATAAACCGTATGCATTACTTTCAGCTGTAAATACGTCAAAACACTATTGAAGCTGCTGCGCTGTACATGAAATCAGCTATACTAAGACGCATTGCCAAACAACGTAGACAGTTTTCACACTTATTGAAGAAAAACCTTAACATCGATCAAAGCTTTCGTCCAACGCTACAGCACAAACCACGCGAGCAGATCGCCATTTTAAGCGCATGTGAGGTACGGTACGTAAGTGCACGACGATCTTATATCAAAGAAGTATATCTAATGCTATAGAGGACCTGTGCCTACGCGACGGATGATATGCATAAGTAACCGAGTTATTTGTGTTTAAAGGGAGCGGTTCATATTTGTACGGGATCTTAAACTGAAAAAGTCATCGTGAAGATCATTCGGTGCAATGCATGACCCTGCCCTCCTTAACACCTAAGCCCTTCTAGTTTCTGAGTTAACGCCCCTGAAGACGTGTAGACCATTTCGAGGAAACTATGTCAAGGTCATCTCGGCATGACACAACCACGTCATCCAAATCCTGCCATTCCATCAGGCGTGCGGCGATCAAGGCCAAAAAAATAACATCTTCGAGTTGTTCATATCGGGCGTTCGTGTGCGTCATTTTCAAGTACAATGATCGTCAATTGGCCCTTACTCAATGTTGTGTGCGGTACAATAACGTAATCAAAGAAAGACGTATTGAGGAGCATATTTAGCAACCAGAAATATTGTGTTGCCTAGAGCAAACTTTTCTTCCTGTCAACAGTTATAAGTAAGCTTATATCATGATATCTGATGATTGCATCTATATCTTAAAATGTGGAGCATTTACTTTAAATCTTAGGGGCAGACAGCATGGCGTCAGGGACTGCAGAAACAACGCTGCGGCATTACCGTGCCTTCGGAACATTATTCCACGCATGTGAAGACGTTTCCAGAAAAACTGCTACCACTGGACTTCCACCATCTCGATTTACGTCATTTTCAAATGAACTCAGGTTTTATGAAGACAAAAACGTACAATCCTTTGGAAGATTGATGCCAGATCTCAAAACCAGGGCAGATCCGGACGTGAAACGAACAGTACGGTGTTGGCGAACGTACTTGCTGTAGCCTGCAGTTGACAAACCTTAAACTCTCCGACTCAGTGGGTGCCCCGTAATCGCCCAAAAATTAGCTAATATCACCTTCTCAGGCAAAGATCTCAGCCACAAGATTGTGACCAAAACCGACAGACAGTGAGCGCGTTGAGTTGTACAAATTGCGCAAAAGATGGCCCCTTTTCAGACCGTGTTACGAATGTTAAATCGCAACCCCGACTGCTTCACTGGATACTGAGTGCACATATGCCAAATGGCATCGGATCTTTCTGGTAAGTTCAGGCGGGTTTGACCTGCAAAGTCGTAACAGAGCGACGCAGGCTTCGCGCATGCGCACGAGACACCGACTCATCATAACATTTGAACCAGAAAGATCAACCGCCGCGCGGGGCGAATTTCAACTAGATAACTACGCACTACATCCTGGGTACTAGTCACGGAATTATATCTCCTATCTTTCCAGAATGCTTGCGTGCACTTTCAAATCATTCGATTGGTAGAATTTCAAATCAATACGCCCTCGGCGTCCCCACAATAAACGATCAATAAAAACAATTCATTGCGCCGTGGCACGTCATTTTCGCCCCTACGCACCAAAAACCCCTACCGACCATCTTGTGTACGCTGGCAAAACAGACATTACTAAACCCAACACCAGGTGGCAGGAATGAGCAAGACGTTCCTGTCATTTCTAAGTACGCTAATCAATCATTTCACCATGCGTCCCACAAGAACACTGCGGCGAGCGAATGAAACACCATCCTGAACAACAGCCGCCGACCACATAATCGGCTTCTTCAAACTCAGCTGACACTGTTGACCTTGGGAAAACCGCGCAGCATAAGCCGACCGACACGCCAGTAGCTGGTGAAGCTCTCCACGGAGCCCGACACTGACACACTGTCCCCCGCTGACTAACCTTTCCACCCCTTCCGCGCTTCATCTGCACACACCAGTTAGCATTACCCACAAACCGATGCAGCAAGTAGGCCGCCACGCGTCCTACTCACGAGCGCCGGCCCACGATCTCTGATTCAGACCGGGAAGATCGGCTCCACCCCGGCCAACTCGTTTCAACACCCCAGCTGCCACAGCCCACCTTTTTGTGGCCGACAAAGTCCTTGTTGGTCGTCCAGTCGTTCCTGTCCACGATCTGGGCGGTGGGACCGCCGTTGTTCATGGCGTGCGCCGACACGATGTACCTGCAGACGCCCAGCGAGACGGCTACAGTCACGCAGCAACCACGCTACAGACGCTACAGTTACAGACGCTACGGTTACAGTGCTCGGGACGGCTAGCGGGGTGTGTCACCGGCCGGAAGGACTGCAGTGCGGCCGCTGGCGGCGGCGGGCCGGGCTTCTGGTCCCGTACGCCCTGCGGAGGCTGGCCTTGCGTGCGACAGTTGTTTACCACCCCCACTCCCCCTCCCCCCACGGCGGCGGCCCTCCACCAGGTGGCTCACCGACCCCAGCCGAAACATCAAACGCGGTTAGTCACCGGGTCTGTCGGACGCTTCGATGCGCCCATTCACGGCCAACGAACGTATGGCATTTGCCGTAATAGGACACTACGATTCAAGGTCAGCCTTTACCAAGGTCGAGACCACACGCAAACCAACACATATACAGGGTCATGTATGTAACCCCATTCAGTGTCCGAGCTTTTGCAGCCCAAGGGGTAACAAATCACCTAGATGACCCAGTGCGTGACCAAGATGGTGACCAGGGGGCTACCCAGATAGGGCCGACGAGTAAGCTACCATCCCCAGAACAGGAACGACCACCCAATTAGCAACCACACTGCAGGGGTGACCGACCCTCCGTTCTTCACTAGGGGTGGGGCCCGTTCTCCACTGGTAAATGAAAGCCCATTCAATTCTATAAGTTGTTCTGTGCATTAGCGAGGAACATTATTCACATAGATAAGACAGTAGTACTAGCCTTAATGCTCGGAAAAACCAGGAGAATGGATATTTAGTTGGGTGGATATTTCGGCAACATGCCTTTATCAAAAGCCAGACTGTCATCTGGCAGTCGCGCTCATGTGACTGCTGTCACACAAGTCCCGCTCATCTGACAATCGTGTCTGGCAGACACCTCCGTCATTGCTTCGACAGGCATGGCATGCCGCCGGAATATCAACCCAACTACGTCTCCATTCTCCCGGTTTTCCCAGGAATAAGGCTAATGCAACTGTCTTACACATTTCGTTCTCTGAGCCACCCCGATTACACCACGTTACAGCCACCTGACTCATCCGTGACGTCACTGCCTCAGCCCGCTCCTTATTTGGCTGGGAGACCAGACCAGCGCGGTGGGTCGAGTTCGTTACACATGGCTTATGAAGCACCGCCCGGCAGCGGCCGGAGCTTGTTGACTGCCTTACATGTCGGGGAAACTGGACGGGTCGCGACCCCACGGAGATGGTGCGATCGGCATAAGCGTGAAAACGAATAACGTCCAACTGGCCGATCGCTGCAAGCCGTCTCCATGAACATTTCAAAATTTTATACAGATTTGATCCGAACCATTGAATGGATTGATTTCTGGGGTCAGAGCTCACGCTAAGCAGTGCTTGTTGTGTGAGCCCTGACCCCTACCATCCGATCGCGTAATTCCAGGCAACGGCACAATTCAGTAGCGCAAGTTTAACGTGCCGCAACGCTCGGCACGGTCCGTCGTGCCCTCTGACGTCAAATGGCCGCGACCGCTGCCACCGGCTGTAGGCCATACCTGACAAGGATAAGAAGCGAGCGAGCGACTCGAACCCACCCCGCCACGGTTGCGTGAATCGGAAGGCAGGAGCTATAACCAACTGAGCCACCGGGACGGACGATGGCCTGAATCAGACGATTCCACTTCTTGCCCATATTTGGAGTCGCAAACGTCCTTGATATGCGCGCATGATGCACTCACCGATACGACACAGATTGTCACGTCTCTCAGCAGAGCTTGGCTATCGAGACCTGACTACTGCTATCACGACTGCAGGGGTGACCGACCTGTCGCCAGTGGGCCCGAGCGGACGCAGGGGTGACCGACCTGCCGTCGGGTGACCAGCCGCAGCGGAGCACGGCCGTCGTGCCGCCGGTACACTGGAACGGGTCGACCACCACCGTCTCCGCCTGCCAGTCGGCCGTGCGCCAGACGCGCAGCGTGCGGTCGTCCGACTGCGAGACCAGGTACCGGCCGACCGGGTCCCAGTCGACGCCCTTCACCAGGCCTGCCGGACCGAGGCGGCGGCGGCGTCAGGCGCACGGCGCGGCAGCGCGCGGCGCCAGCAGCGGCGGCTGCGCACGCTGCCAGCGGCGCAAACGTACAGAGCGTCGGTCGCGCCGTGACCCCAGGCGCTCCGCTCCCATTGGCGAGCCCATCCCTCCGCTTTCATGATGATGATGATGATGATGATGATGATGATGATGACAATGATGACAATGATGGTGATGAGTTGGGCTTTGAGGCACGCCAACTAAGATGGTCATATGGCGCCTATTCCCGTCTCACTGGTGAGCCCACGCGCTTGGTCCTCCCCGGCGAGCCCTCCCCCTCCCCCTCCTCCCCTCTCACGGATGAGACCACACGCTCCGTTCTCACCGGCGGGCCCCCCTCCTCCCCTCTCACCGATGGGCCCACGCGCTCCGTTCCTCACCGGTGTGGCCGCGCAGGCGCGCCACCACGTCGCCCCAGCGGGCGGCGTCCCAGACGAGCACCAGGTTGTCCACGGAGCAGGTGGCCAGGTAGCGGTCCTCAGGGCGACCAGGCCAGCGCGATGACGTCGCCGTCGTGCGCGCGCAGCGTGGTGACGGCGCGCCAGCCCTCCAGGCACGGCTGGCTGGAGCCGAACGGCGCGGCGCCGCCCGTCTGCCGGCGGCGAGCGGCGCGGGTGTGACGTCGGCGCGGGGCTGGGACAGGCTGCCGGGACGCCAGCCAGCGGCCGGCGGCACGTCCGGGGCACGAGCCAACGCAGCGTCACCCCGAGTCACGCACAGCTCGGGCTAGTGAGCGCCGAGGTCAGCTGGGACGGCCCGGCCGCCTGCGCTGCAGGGGATCCGAGTGGGCTGCACAATCTAACGGGCGCAATACACACATCTGGAATGCTCCAGGCTGCGGTAACGAGGCAAAAATGGAGGGGCTGCAGGTAAAAAAATAGCAGCCCAGGAACCCACACCCCATCATGTGGCCCACCTGAAGTTATTCCCCGGCACACGAGCTGACAGGGTCGGCGTTCCACGATGATCGCAGACCAACGTGATTAAGGAGCCACGAGATATCATCAAAGGCGCCGTGCACCACACGCGAGTCACGCTAATCGTCTTTGGGTGGTTGATTCCACCAGGAACATGTTCATTCCGTGCGCCACTGACGTATCGGCATTTGCCACTTGGGCGTGCTTGCCGCCGCTTGAACGCGTTACAAGCGTGCTTCTCCCACGTGCCCTGTTTCCTGCCACCGCATCAAACCCAAGACACGTCCTGGGCCTGGGGGGGGGGGGGGGGGGGCGAGCTGTCAGCGCCACGCGCTCTATAATTCGAGTGCTCTGCAGCGGGCGCCTCATCTGCGGCGTGGCGGCCGCGCGCCGGCGCCGCCCCGCCCGCGGTGCGGCGGCGCCGCCGCTGGGCCGCTGGGCCGGCCGCTTGCCTTGGTGTGGCGCCAGACCATGACTAGCTTGTCGTCGCCGCCGCTGGCCAGGTGGCGGCCGTCGGCCGACCAGCGCAGGCAGTTGACGCAGCCCAGGTGGTCGTCCAGGCGGCACAGCTGGCGGGGGACGGCCGCGTCCAGCTCGGCGCGCTCGCTCTCCACCGGCGCCATGTTCCAGACGGCGATCGTGCCTGGGAGGGGAGGAAAGGGCATGGGGAGGTCAGGCCCCAGTCAGCGGAGGGAGGAGGGACCCACACCTGACTCAGGGGAGGGAAATGGGACTCATACCTGCCAGGGAGACCAAGAGTGGGACCTGGCAGTTCACACATGGGTCCAGGTGGGAGGAGAATGGTCCACATCTGGATGTGTGGTCCTTTTTGCCACACACTCAAGAAGATGGGGAGGAGCAAAATGGTTTAGTTAGAATGGATACATGGTTCAATATTTTGTGTGTCTGGGAAGTTTTTGATTAAGTGTTTCCTGAGGCTCACAAGGATGGTATGGAAGGAGGAGATGCTTCAAACTCATATTTACCACCATCATTGAGCCTAGTGTGCAGTGAACAGATGACTGTTACTATGGCAGAATTCATCCACATTATAGAAACAATGCATCACAGAAGAAGGGGGATGTCATCAGTGTGCATCATCTTGTTGATAAGAGCTTAAAGGTGCATCTGTGTCATCATTCCAGAAATTTTATTATCCAGACCATGTGATCATGAGGCATGAGGATGGGCAGGTTTGTCCTGAAAACAACTCAACTTCATCTGTGATCTGGCAAATTAATGCAACACTATCATGAAACATCCAGTGCCATACCAACAAAACAACTTTTGTGTGACTGCATAAAAACAACAAAACATTACACTTCCTTGCCCATCATTAAAAACTTTCAGAGGACCCTGTCACTTACATTTACATATCCATTCCATTGTGTGCAATGCCATCAAATCACAAGACAAGATGAAAGGCAGACACAGTAAATGAAAACAACTGGATTTGTGAAGCAGTGGCTCTTAGGTAAACAAATCTTTTAATTTCCAAATCCCCTACATCTACCCACCTATCCAAGTATGCTGGTGCTCACCTGTGCGATCCTGCCCCTGACCTCCTGTGGCAAACCTCGAGCCATCTGGGTGGATGTCCACACAAAACAAGGACCTCTCATCATGGCTAACCCATGCTGGCTTCAGTAGCTTCATAATAATTACATTAAATTATTCCCTCTCATCAAATGACAGCCTGACCAAAAAAATTATGGTGGCCAGACTTTCGGGGTTACGCAGCACCCATAGCATCTGTAAACAGGGCACATTCACATGACATAACCCAGCCAACAGTGCAATCAATGTGATTCGTCACTGCAGTGTTATGTTTCCAACCACCTTCCAGCATAAATGCTACCTAGTTTAGAGACATTATATTGCTTGGTCATTTTTGAGGCTACAACCTCATCAAAACCTTAAGTCATTCATCCAAATTTTAGCAAGTTGTCAATGAAGAGACAAAATCCAGAAACTACACAACATGATGAAATTGTCCAGAATCGGCAGATATATTTCAAAATATTGGCTGTGCGTATACTTAAAGACCACGCACCAGGCTTATCCACCTTCCAACATCTTGGAGAGGGTCGCACGCAGCAGGCGTACGCGGACTACAAGTCCTGAAGGGTGGCAACTGAAACATGCAACATGTCGTGCGAAAACTCGGCTCAATGCAGATAATATGCGTTACATGTATGAGACGATCATAAAATCTGTGAATACGCCACGAACCAGCCTCTCCCCGCTAAATAATCGTGGGGAGCCGGGGCTGCACGCGAGATGGCTAGATGAGTGTCGCGATGGTCTTTCACGCGCCATACTCGGGTTCGAGTTCGGGTGATGGCTGGCCGTGGGAGGCAGAATTCTGTTCTGGGGCCCTGGGTGGGATAGCAGGCACCGCCGGAGTTGGCTTCATGATTTACTATTGCTCGATAGGCGTAGCAGGATGATGGTAGCATGCATTACTCTTGAAGAGGTGGAAAACATGGGTTGTTTTTAAACCGGATATACGCACAATTTATCATGGCTTACGGGGTGGGCGCTACAGAAATATTGACGGCCCCGCGAACGTTGACTACATCGAGATGGGGTCGGACATTGTATCATCATGGTCAACTCTGGTTCGTCCACGAAGGTTCAACCTGCGGTTATAATCGAAAGCTGAAAATTACATAACATGTAATTTCCTGAATATGCGCTCGCACGTCTTAGGAGACGTCTTAGAAACAAAACCGCGATGCTCGTCCCCCCGCGGCTAGCACTATTGGGCACGTGGGGGGGGGGGGGGGGGGAGGGAGGGAGGGAGCGTCAGAGGACTCCTCATTGTCACAGGATTTGCGACCAGTACAAAGGGCGGGTCCGGGTTTCATTTCCGCCATACAATGGGGCCCCCAGAGCTCAGGCTGACACCGAGTCGACTGTTCGGTGTGGTGGCCTCTGGCCGAAATAGGGGCCCGTAATGTCCCAGGCGTCTACACTCGGTGAAAGAGGCCTTCTGACTGACATTTGAAGCCACGGCCAAACGGAATCCTTAATGTGACCGGAATCCTTAATGTGACCTGCGGACCCTTCGGCCGCTCGGGCGGTTCAGCCTTTCAATGAGGCCATTGATCTTCGGTCTCGAGTGACCCTTCGGCCCCTGTTCGAGCCCCCTCAAACGCCGCTCCTGGGTCACTCGGGGCCACCTGCCGCCACAGGACCCTGTTGGGCGCCGTGGCCGCTGACCGACGCAGGGCCGCTAATTGAATCAAGGTCCGTGAACATTGTCAATCGCAGGCCCCGGCTTCGCTCCTACTTGGGAACTAGGTCCCCAGGGCTTAGGCGGGCATGGAGCTGACTGTTTGGCTCCGTGTCGAGGCCCTACATGATGGGGATAGAGAGCCGTCATAAGATGACCCCAATAAAAGC